GAAAATCCCCCCCCCTCTTCCTCCGGAGCCCGGGGTTCCCCCCCCCTCCGAAAATCCCCCCCCCCCTCCACTCCCCCGGCAAAACCCCCCCCCTCCCCGAACCCCCCCCTCCCCCTCGAAAACCGCTGGGGGGGGTCACTATAGAGGTTCGAACCCCCCCCCTCCCCCCTCGAAAACCGGAGGGGGGGTTACTACCGGTTCGAACCCCTCCCCACCCCCCCCTCTCACCGCCAGCAAACGACTCCCGGTCCCTACCACCGTCCTCACCACATCCCCCACTGTTGTTCCCAGCACCACTGTCCTCACCACCACTGTCCCCACTGGTTCCACCACCGCCCCTACTGTCCCCACCAGTGCCCACCACCACTGTCGCACTGTCCCCACTGTCCCCACCACTGTTCCCACCACGGTTCCACTCTCCCCACTTTCTCCACGGCCCCAACCACTGCCCGACTATCCCCACTGTCCCCACTGTCCCACTGACTCCTCCGCTGTCCCACTGAGCTGTCCCACTGTTCCCACCACTGTCCCCACTGTCCACCACCACTGTCCCATTGTCCCACCGCCGTCCTCGCCACCGCCTTCACCACTGTCCCCACCACCACTGTACCCTCCACTGTCCTACTGTTTCCACCACATTCCCACTGTCCCCACACCACTGTCCCCACCACCACCGTCCCCACCACTGTCCCAGTGTCCCCACCGTTCCCACCATTGTCCTCACCACTGTCCCCACCACTACCGTCCCCACCACTGTCCCACTGTCCCCACCACTGTCTCGCTGTCCCCTCACCACTGTCCCCACCACCACCGTCCCCACCACTGTCCGCACCCCCCCGGTTTTCGAGGGGGGGGGGTTCGAACCGGTAGTGACCCCCCCCCTTTTCATGAGACTGGGGGGGGGGGGAGGGGTTCGAACCGGTAGTGACCCGCCCCCCTTTTCGGGGGGGGGGGGGAGGGGTTCGAACCGGTAGTGACCCCCCCCCCCGGGTTTTCCGCCAGCAGCGGTATAACACGCCCTTTCAGATATTACCAGACGATTCATCATGATAATCGTATTTGTGCTTTGTTTTTCATTTGTTGAGGCGCCTGGGTTCAGACCTGTCTGCTGCTGTCGGCCGTGCTGGGCGAGCTGGCGCGCGAGGCCTCGGCGCGGCTCGCCGAGGGAGCGAGCGCGGCGCCGGCGCGAGCAGGGGCGCGGAGGATCGAAGGCCGAAGGGGCCGGACGCTGCGGCGCCCGCTGCGGGGCCTCCGGGCGCCTCCCGGAGGAGGAGGAGGAGGAGGAGGAGGAGGAGGAGGAGGAGGCGGAGGAGGAGGAGGAGGAGGAGGAGGAGGAGGCGGAGGAGGATGAGGATGAGGAGGAAACGTTCATCTGCTAACAGCAAGTCAGATGCCCACCTATGCGCGCGGGAGCTGTTTTTTTGTCGACGCAGGCAGAGCTCGGATCAGCGAACGCGGCGAACACGAAGGTTTTGGCTTGCCAGGCTCGGCGCACTCCCCGCAGGACGCCGACAGCGGCGACCCCGATCTGATGGAACTCGTCAGACATTTCGACCAGCGCCCATACTGGAGGCTTGGAAACGGGCAATAACACCAACACAGGGGTCTGTTTCCACCGGGGGAAGATTATCATAGATTTCGGTGATGGTGGTAATCTTTCGGCCGCCCAGGAGGCCAGAAAATTACCACCATCACCGAGATCGGGATAATCTCCCCCCCCGTGGAGGTACACCGCCGATATTGGTGTTGGTGTCAACCTCTGGGCCTCCGACCATACCGAGTCCTAAACTGCACCAGGAGGGTGCGCGTGTTGCCTGGGCGTTCAGCACGGGGCCCCGAGAAAACGGATGACGGGCTGCGCCTGGCACGGGAACGAGATCCTTGTTGGTCGGCCGCCCTGGAGGCACTCCGTGGCGGCAACGAGGATGGGATGCGACGCGCGCGAGTCGTAACCCGTGCGCGGGAATCCCACCAGCCCTGAGGGGCGTGAGTGGTTCTGGCGAGTTTCCTCCTCCAGCCCCCCTTCTTCCCCTTTGGCCTCGCCCTCCCCCCCCCCTCCCCCCCTGGGTTTGGAAAAAAAGGCTTCGCGGGTCGTTGGAGCGTCCAAAACGGCCTCGGCGAGCACCTATTGGCCTCCTGGGGGGGGCACCTGATCAAGGAGCTCCCCCCTTTGATCGATCTCCTCCAAGATGGTCCCAAGATGTCCCCCGAGGCTCCCAAATGTACCCTAAGACAGCCCCAAGAGGTGCCCTGGATGTCCCAAGAGGCTCCCCTAGATGCCCCAAGAGGCCTCGGCGATACGGCCAACATCATTGATTTACTCAGAGGATTTGGCCACCTTTTGGCCTTCTGGGAGGGGGACTCTAATTAAGGAGCCCCCCTCCTTTGATCGATCTTCTCCAAGGGTGCCCCAAGGCAGCCCCAAGAGGTGTCCAGGAGGCCCCAAGAGGCGCCCAAGAGGCCCCAAAGATGCCCGAGGCTCCCAAGAGACCCCCAAGAGGCACCCAAGACGCCCTAAAAACCCTCGGCGAGAAGATCAGCATCATGGATTTTACATAAAGGTTTTTGCCACCTTTTGGCGTCCTGGGGGGGACCCTAGTGTACTACGGCCCCTCCTTTGATCGATCTCCTCCAATATGGCCCCAAGATGGAAGGGTGCCCCAAAACGGCCGCGAGAGGTGCCCAGCAGGCCCCAAGAGGCGCCCAAGAGGCCCTCAACGTGCCCCCAAAATGCTCCCAAGAGACCCCGAAGATGCCCCAAGAGGCTGCCCAGAAGCAGCCAGGACGCCCCAAAAGGCTCCCAGGACTGCCAAGAGACCATCAAGACCCTCCAACAGGACCCCCCCACAGCTCTCAGAAGAAATCCGACGAGACCCCGAGAAGCATTCAAGAGGCTTCTGGTGTTTCTGTTCGCCCTCCTCCTCCTCCTCTTCCTCACCCGCCTGTTCCTCCTCCTTCCTCCTCCCTTCTCCCCCTCCCCCTCCTCCTCCTCCTCCTCCTCTTTCTCCTCCACCTCCTCCTCCTCCTCCTCCTCTTCTTCATCCCCCTGCTCCTCCGATTCCTCCTTCATCCTGCCCCATCTTGGGGTAGGACGTCTTACCCAGCACTTTATGCCACTGCGTGCTCCTCCACATCCCTGATCAGGGCCACTTGTCTGGGCATCGTTTCTGGATGGGCTGATGGGGTTATTTTTTAATCAGCGGCCGCAGGCGAGCGCGCCGGCGGCAAGTCAGGTCAAAGCGGGCTACGCAGAGATTAATTAGGCAGAGGAAACGCGAGAAAATTAAAACAGAGGCGACACGCAAAGCAACATCTACGCGCCGGCCGAAGCCTCACGCAGCGGCCCAATGACAGGTGGATGGCTGGAGGGACTGAAACTGAAGGGAATTGTTGACGCTTCGCGTATCCCCACCAGCCCATCCAGAAACGATGCTCAGGGGAGTTGAGGTGATCAGGGAAGTCGGGGAGCATGCAGAATAACAAAGGGCGGGGGAAGCTGTCACAGACCCCGAGAGGGGGAGGATGGAAGAGGAGTCGTCGTCGTCGTCGTCGTCGTCGGAGGAGGAGGAGGGGGAAGAGGAGGAGGAGGAGGAGGAGGAGGAGGACGGAGAAGGAGGAAGAATCGGAGGAGGAGGAGGAGGAGGGGAAGGAGCTTCTTGGGGGTCTTTTGAGGGCCTCTTGGAGGCTTTTTGGGCGCCTTGGGGCATCTTGGGCGCCTCTTGGGACCCTCTTGAGGCGCTCTGGGGAGCCTTCGGGGCGCTTTTGGGGCCATCTTGGAGGGAGTCGATCAAACAAGAGGGGGGGTTTAATTAGCGTCCCCCCTCGGAAGCCCCTAAAATCGCCTCTTGGACCCCTCTTGGAACGCTCTTGGAGTGCTCTTGGGCGCTCTTGGGGCCGTCTTGGGGCTCTTTTGGGGCTCTCTTGGGGCCCTCTTGGGCCATCTTGGAGCCATCTCCAGGCCTCGGATGGCCATCGGAAGCGAAAAGGCGAGAAAGCAAAAATCATTGATTTTCCTTAGGTTTTGGGACGATTTTGGCCTCTTCGGGGCCTCCTTGGGGAGCTGTTTGGCCACTTGGAGTTATCTTGGGGCCGTCTTTGGGCTTCTTGGAACCATCTTAGGAGCCATCGTGAGCGATCTTGCGCTATCTTGAGCCATCTTGGAGCTCATCTTGGGTTCTCTGAGGCGCTCTTGGAGCCGTCTTGGGCCATCTTGGACGCTCTAACTACCCGCGGCCCCCCCCGTCCAGGTCCAGGGGAGGGGGTAGGGGGAGGGGTAAACCCCTCCCCAAGGGGGAAGAGGGAGGGGTGGAAGAGGATCTGCTCTAGACCACCTACGCCCAGAGGGCTGGTGGGACTGCCAGCGTGCAAAGCTGCAAGTCCGTCGGAGGCGCCAAAAGTCGGAATATAAACGACGGCCAGGGACGGCTCCGAGAGAGAAAGCATGATACCGTACCGCAGACGACTGCGTGAGCACCAAGGTGGCCGTAGCCAACGAAGCGCCAATAGAAGTAGGAAGGAGAAGTGCAAAGGCGAGGCCCCGGACGTCGGCGTGAGCGCGAGAACCAGGGTGGTCCTAAGGACCGTCGGTCAAGGGATTGACGCCAGGAGGCGCGCGCATTGGCAGGCTGCAACTCCCAGGGTGGCGGAAGCCGAGAGACCCCGAGGCAACAATACGCACGAGTGCGGGAAGCGGCGTAGCCGCGACGCGGCCAAAATGGCGGGGTCACCACGTACAGGTGCGAGAGATGGTGTCAGGTTGACCCAACACGGGCCGGAATGGGCACCACGCACAGGGCTGACACACAAAGTGGTGAGCTGGTGGGGTTACTTTTTCGGTCGCGTCCGCCAGCGAAGGCGCTAGCGGAGTCAGAAGCGCTACGGGTCACGACAGCGGCCTAATTAGGAGCTAAACGCGCCGCGAGCCGGCCGGCCCACTCACCCAGCAGCGGCTGACTGCGCGGGGGGAGCGGCAAGCTGAGGGCGTCCAGGGTGCTCGAGCACTTGCTGGTGGGGTTACGCGAAGCATCTCGGCTCTATGCTTGTTCCTACCAGTGGCTCTGCTGAGGCACGCTCTGTTTCCGAAACCTGTCTCCTTGCTAGAAGCACTTGGCAGCTGCAGGGTTACTTCCCAACCCGAGCGGCTCACTTCAACATACATCCCCGTGAGTACAATTCTCCAACTTATATAACCATCAATCATAATTCGGCGAAATCTATCTGAACAGCGATCCGGACCAGGTGAAACAATGTGCAGGACCCAAGCGACCGAGTCCAGCAATGCCACCACGCCGAATCAAACTGACCATGCAGTATCTGTATTAATCTTAGCTAGCGTGGACCCCAAGTAATACGTTATTGATTTATGGAAATATAAGCTATGCAATACAACCATGTGATGCAAGCTGTGAGGCGCAAGCTATGTGGTGAAATCCCACCAGCCCTCTGGGCGTAGGTGGTCTAGAGCAGATCCTCTTCCACCCCTCCCTCTTCCCCCTTGGGGAGGGGTTTACCCCTCCCCCTACCCCCTCCCCTGGACCTGGACGGGGGGGGCCGCGGGTAGTTAGAGCGTCCAAGATGGCCCAAGACGGCTCCAAGAGCGCCTCAGAGAACCCAAGATGAGCTCCAAGATGGCTCAAGATAGCGCAAGATCGCTCACGATGGCTCCTAAGATGGTTCCAAGAAGCCCAAAGACGGCCCCAAGATAACTCCAAGTGGCCAAACAGCTCCCCAAGGAGGCCCCGAAGAGGCCAAAATCGTCCCAAAACCTAAGGAAAATCAATGATTTTTGCTTTCTCGCCTTTTCGCTTCCGATGGCCATCCGAGGCCTGGAGATGGCTCCAAGATGGCCCAAGAGGGCCCCAAGAGAGCCCCAAAAGAGCCCCAAGACGGCCCCAAGAGCGCCCAAGAGCACTCCAAGAGCGTTCCAAGAGGGGTCCAAGAGGCGATTTTAGGGGCTTCCGAGGGGGGACGCTAATTAAACCCCCCCTCTTGTTTGATCGACTCCCTCCAAGATGGCCCCAAAAGCGCCCCGAAGGCTCCCCAGAGCGCCTCAAGAGGGTCCCAAGAGGCGCCCAAGATGCCCCAAGGCGCCCAAAAAGCCCTCCAAGAGGCCCTCAAAAGACCCCCAAGAAGCTCCTTCCCCTCCTCCTCCTCCTCCTCCGATTCTTCCTCCTTCTCCGTCCTCCTCCTCCTCCTCCTCCTCCTCCTCTTCCCCCTCCTCCTCCTCCTCCTCCTCCGACGACGACGACGACGACGACGACTCCTCTTCCATCCTCCCCCTCTCGGGGTCTGTGACAGCTTCCCCCGCCCTTTGTTATTCTGCATGCTCCCCGACTTCCCTGATCACCTCAACTCCCCTGAGCATCGTTTCTGGATGGGCTGGTGGGGATACGCGAAGCGTCAACAATTCACCAATGGTCGCCGTGACTTGTCAACTACACTGCTCGCGCAATCATGTCCTCCGCCCGCCCGCAGTTTGGTTTGCAAAACTCATGCGACGGCGATTGAGATGAGTGCTTGGCGTTGACTGGTGCATCTCTGCGGCCGCGCTAGCCCGCGCATGCTCGTGCGCGCAGCGATCAGCTAGTGCGGCGCGACCGAAGCGGCCGCGGTGACGCTGACAGCTGGGCACTTCCAGGGGGCACTTCGGTGCGAGTCGGTGATTTGGGCGGGGGCGGTTTCATGGCGACGCCGACAATGGTAGACACGATGATGCGAGTAGCGATGATAGCGGCGATTGTGGCGATGACGACGGCAAGGCCAATGACGGTGCCGATGTTGATCACGCCCGCCGATCACGATGACGATGTCCTCGCGTCGGCGAAGAAGATTTTGGAAGGAGTTCGACATGCGCGCGCGGCCGACGCGCGCGAGTGGCCCGCGTGGTATTATTTGACACCGATCGTGCCCCCCCTATACACGCGCGCAAGGGCGTTCGAATGAGTTCGACATGCGGCGCAAGGAGCCCGTTTGGCACATATTGAAGACAATGCTGAAAGCCTATGGTTTCTGGAAGAATTCGCAAGACCGCGCGCGCGTTTTTTGTTAGTTTAGAAAACTGGCGTTGCAAAGCCATGTGTTTTAGGTATTTTTGGGGCGCTCGATTTTGAAATCCTCACGACACATACAATTTTTGAACGATTTCGGCATGCGCGCGCGACGACGCGCGCGTATGCGGGATTCTTGCGACGAAACGCGCGCAAGAGCGTTCGAGCGACTTCGACATGCGCGTGCGGAAGGCCCGTTTGGTAACATGTATACTGAAAACCATGATTTTATTAACAATCTGCAAAAGCGTGAGCATAACCCTTGTTACGACGCCATGTGTTATTCAAGTATGTTTTCGGGGCACTTCATTTTTAAATCCTCACAAGACGTAAGGCACGTGAGAGATTTCGGCACATGCGCACGACGACGCGCGCGTGTACACTTCGTCTCATTTTTTGCCAAGGAGTCTTGAAAACTTGAAATGTTTGATAAACGAACGCGCGCACATAATATATTTTTCCAAAGGATGAAGGGGGTCGATACCGGCCTGGCTGGGATGGTAAGAAGTCATACTTGGGATGGACGATGGGGAAGAATCATACGTAAATTGCAATACGAAAAAAAAAGGCGGTTAAATCTGGGGAGGGAGGGGGTAGATCCTAATACTCGTTAAAAAAATCTACGTGGTGCGTGGTGCGAGCTAGGTGGTGCAAGCCAGGTGGTGCAAGCTACGTGATGCAAGCTGTGTGTTGCAAACTGTGTGATGCAAGCTACGTGGTGTAAGCTACGCGATGCAAGCTACGCAGCGCAATCTTCGAGGTGCTGTCTACGTGGTGGAAGCTACGTGGTGTGAGCTGTGTGGTGTAAGCTATGTGGTGCACAATATGTGGTGCTCGCTGTGTGGTGCGCGTGATGTGGTGCAATCTACGTGGTGCAAACTATCCAGGCAGCAACGTGGCGAGACCTCGCCGGACCCATCCAGCGCGGCGGCAACATGGCGAAACCTCGCAAAGACCCACTTAGCGCATGAGGCGGGCACGAGGCGGCCACGGGCGGCAACGTGGAAAGTCCTCGCAGGACAACGTCCAATTCCTTACGGGCAGAAGTGAGAACCCCTGGGGGAAAACACAGTTTTGGGAATAAGATCAGCCAACAACCGACAAGGAGGTTGGGGGTGGGTGGGACCAACGACGAGACAACCATCAGGACAACCGTCCGCATCCATCGAACAATATATATATATCGGTCTCTGTCAATCGATCTCTCCACCTATATCTGTAGTATCACATTACTATGTACCTATCAATGCCATTGTCTATCGATCTGTCCATCTTATGAACTTTCAAGGAACCGGTATCACTAGCGACACTAGCAGTCTATCGATCTCATTATCTACATGTCAGTCTCACTATCAGGATATTCACTGATCTATCTATGCGCAGATTGACAATCCGTCTATCGATCTCACGATTCGTTACTCCACCAATCATCGGGACAATCTCTACTAGGCTACCTACATGTAGATTTCACTATCTACCTACTGATCCCACGATATATACTAATTATGCCCACTCGATATCTATCCATTGATCGCACGGTCAAACTGTCCCTCTCATTATCGATCTATGGATATCACCACTCATCTATCGTTCTTACCCTCCATCTATTTGTCGATCTACCTATTTTCGGACTCACTATCAGTCCATCGATTTCACTCTGAAGCAATCAATTTACTATCAGGACAACCATCGGGACAAGCGACGGGATAACCATCGGGACAACCATCGGGACAACCACAGAACAATCGCAAAGCAACCGCTGGATAACCATGGGACAACCCCGGGACAATTCCGGCCCCGAATCCGCTAACCGGAAGGGGGGGAACATGTGCTCTGACTCCGCCCCAGCAGCGGCGGGATCCCTCCTCTCGCATGCGCAGGCAGCTTCGCATCGCCCGCACGCTCTCAAGGCACGAGCATGACACTGAAACCGAGTTCCCGGCGCGCGGTCTCCGTGCCACGGCGATCTCACACCTCCGCCCACCTCCGATCTCAGCGGCGCACGTGGAACCACATTGACACATTCGCCCGTCATCTCTCACCGCAACGAAGATATCAAGCAACACAGCCTGTGCTGACTCGCTCCTTCATGCTGGGCGGGCGGTGACAGGACCCCGCACGCGTCCTTGAGATCATGCACGATGTGAAACAACTGCCGCCCTGTGATAAGAGAAGACGGCCCGTTATCCATCTCCCAAGGTCCTTGTGGCGTTCTTCGGCGGCCGTCAGAGCGAAGTGCAGGGACAGAAATACAAAGGTCCCCATGAGCAGGGCTGCAGCGAGCCCCAATATCTTCCAGATCTCGCGCTGGCTGGACTTCCGTAGCGCCATGGCCGCCGCAAGCTTGTGTCGCGGGGAAGCAGGTGGGGTAGGTGAATAAGAAGCGAGGAGATGCCAGGAACGAGCAGGTGAAACAAAGAGCACATGAGTCACACGTCAACAATAGCGAGGCAGCCAAGTCATGATCAAGCGAGATCCGAGGTCAGGTCAGCAGCATCGACAAAACATGGATAGCGGCGAATGGTGTGGTGAGGAGGGGAGAGAGGAAGGAGGCATGGCAGGCGTAAGAAAAGAAATATGACGGGGGGAAGGGGGGGGGGATAAGGGGAGGGCGGGAGGGATGCTCGGGCCGAAAAAAACAGCGACACGGGTAGCGACGGATGAATGATCATGCCGTGGCACCGAGATTGAACGTCATACTCATAATAATCCCACGATAAGTCAGAATGCATTAGATCATTTTTTTCGTAAGGCTGTCTGGCAAGCCCCTACTCGTATCTAGTGACTCGACAGTCTGATCTCTTCCAAGGGATCGAAACAGCAGCCGTAGTCGGCGTGAGCGCTGCTCCATACTGCCAGCAGAGACTCGCGCGCAGCGTAATAGGATCAGCACGCCACCTCGCTGCATTATTCACCATGCGATGATCGATCGCATGCTGCGGGCCCTTTGGTTCGATTCTACCTGTTCGCACGTGTCCTCGCAACAAGATGTGCCCACGTAACTTTTTGTGGCCAAGATCCGCTCAACATCGGTTCGCAGACCCCACCAGGGAACTGCCCCGTCCGCTCTTTCTTTGCTCCGCGTCTGATCGTGCGTCGTCGTGGATGTGCGGGCTCTTCCCCGAGAGGGCCGAACACAGACAGTGGAAGCGAAGGGCCAACACACGCCTTACAGCGAAGGAGCAAGGCGCTGCCACCGTGGCAGAAGCCATTGCTGGAGAAGGCAACCAACAAAGGCGGTGATTTGGCATCGAACAAAGGCGGTGCAAATCAGACAAACAGTGGCCCTCCCGCAAGGCCTCCGGCACAATCCTCTGCTGGCGAGAAAGCTCGGGGGGAATGGAGTGGCGTGGAGGAAGGAAGCAGGAGGAAGGCGAGTGAGGAAGAAGAGGGAGCAATGAGAATACTAGGAGCGAGGCTGGGAGGGGGAGGGGACCGCGTTCTGCCTCGACCCGCTCGTCCCTCCACGATGGGACCAGGGGATGGGTCGAGGCCCACGTCGAGAACCCTGGTGCAGGGAGGCCGTGGCCGAGAACGGGGGACCCTGAGGAGAGGCGCGGCGTCGACTTTTCACTCCCTCCTCTAAGGTCGGTCCAGCGGGCGGGCGGGGCGTGCTGTGCTCCTGCCGCGAGCCCTCTGGAGCGGGCTGGGCGGGCCGCGCTCTCTCAGTTGGGGAGGCGCCGCTGGTCGTTGATACGGTTGCAGATGGCGGACAGGGGCCACGTGTTCAAGACCATGGAGGCCCCAGGCACGGTCATCTTCAGGGAGGTCAGCACGTTGGGCAGGAAGGCCGCGAAGAGCTTCCAGACACCGTACATCTCCAGGAGGAAGCCACAGAACGGCCAGCCGAACACGATGACCCCGATGCCAGAGAAGTACGCGGTGGTGCCCTTCCACTTCTCCTTGCGAAGGAAGAACTTTACCGCCTTGGTTGGGCCCAGGAGCATGCCCAGGCCGAGCAGGAAAGCGATGTTCCCCAGCGCCAGCAGGGTTCGGTCGAAGAGCAGCATGACCCCGAGGACGATGCAGATCGTCCCTGGAAGGGCGGGGCCGCACACAAACATAACCTTCGGACGTCCGCTAACGGCCGATCTCCGAGGGGCGCTGGGCCCTCTCCCCACACCCAGCCAGCCTCCATGGGTGTGGCGAAGGGGCCCCGCAGCTGCGGACACGGGTTGCCCGTGGCCGTCCAAAGCGCATGCTGATATGGCACGCTCGCGTCGCGCTGACGTCGGCGATTGGACTCTGGTTGGAGGCGGCCCAGGGGTCTGAACCGGAGGGCCCCGAGAAAATCGGTTAAGAGGGGATGGGGCCCAATCGGCTCAAAATCAAGTCCCAGACCCAGGGGTCCATCTGGTGCAGTTTTTGACTCTGGATCTGTTTTTGACGGTCCCAGGGCTGGAAAACGGCCCCCGAAGGCCGCAAGAGGCAGAGCTCTTCATCGAACCCAGAACCTCGAACCTCGCCCCCCTTCCTGCTCGCCGGGACCAGTGCCCGGCCACCTCAGACCCCCAGCCGACTCCAAAGTCTCTGGCACCGCGTGGACCGTGCAGCCTTGAGCGACCGCAACTTGCCGATGCCCACGGTGCAGCTCGTTCGATCTCGGCCGGCTCCCAGCCACTGGCGGGCGTCGCGATGGCGTCCGCGATTGGTCTCCGGCACCGCATGGACCGCGCGACCTCGAGCGACCGAGGCTTGGTCGCTGTCCGCACCGCAGCTCGCTCGACCTCGGCCGGGTCCGAACCGCCGGCGGCGACGAGCCTCGAACGCCCACGCCGGGGGCCCGCAGCCGCGCCGGCGCGGCGCCAGCCCGCCGTGTGCTCCTCCTCTTCCTCCTCCTCCTCCGCCTCCGCCTCTTCCTCTGCAGGGCACGCACCGTTCTCTCCTCCTTCCCTCCTCCTCCTCCTTCGCCTCCTCCTCCTCCTCCTCCGCCCTGGGTGCCGACGCCGCAGAGGCCGATGCCGATCTTCTTGTTGTCGTCGAGCATCGCCGCCAGCCGCTGTGCGGCTCCAGGCCTTCTCCTCCTGGCCCGCGGGAGCGCGGAGGGCCCCTGCGCCCTGTGCGCGTGCGCGTGCGCCGCGGCGGCCCCTCGAGCTGCAAGGGCAGCGGGGGGCAGGATCGGCCGGCATATCGGATCGGGAAAGCGGATCCGCTCGGAATCTGTGCGGGATCGGCCCGCATCGGCGCCCGAGCTGGATTCGACTCGGATCGGCTGCGCCCAAGCTGCGCAACTACGCTGGGCATGCATCGGGCCGCAGGGTCGCTGGGAACTTGAAACAAAATCGGATCGAGCAGTGTGAACTCGGCATCGACTCGGATCTGTTGAACGGACATGGGCCCTGGCGGAGGGGGAGGAGGAAGAAATTCCCTCCTTTCCCCGCCTCCTGCTTCCTCCTCCTTCCTCCTCCTCCTCCTTTCTGCTCCTCCTTCCTCTTCCTCTCCCTCCTCGCACCAGGCGTGCGCGACCTGTTCCGTCCTTCCAGAGGGCGAAGAAGAAAGGGGCAGCCTTATGCATGCATTTGTTATGGGAGTTCTTGCTTGCGGGCGTAAGAAAACTACTGCGTTTTGTGGTATGGGAGAAAGGTACGTACCCGCGCGCTTTGGAACGAACGCAACAGAGGCATCTAGAGGTCACGCAACGAGGTTGGTGATGTCGAGTGGTGAGCATCGCCAACATATTGTTCCATGTTGCTTCCAGGAGAAGCATTCAATTTTTGGAACGTTCGGCGCGGAAACACGTGCTTGTAGCGCAGGCGAACTGCTGTTCGACGGACGAAACTTACTGTTTTGTCGCTGTGGCACCGAATAAGACATGACCACGGATTCTCTGTGTGAGCGGCTTCCCGTCCAGAGGGCTCGTGGTGGGGCCAAACGGTCTTGCAAAGTCTTCGGGGTTGGTTGGTGAATGAGAACACCCTCTGGTGTATCCTTAGCGCGACAGCGTATCATGGCGCCCCTCATCATGACGATGGTCCTGCGATGATCCACGACTGGGTGCACATGCAGAGGGCCAACCTTCAATGGATCGGTGCTGAATGCAAACCTCATGGTGTAGCTCCTTGGCACAACAACGTGTCATGACCTCGGTGTGCCACACCAGCGCGTCATGACACCCATCATCATGATCGCCCTTGCGATGGTATACGGCTGGATGCACATGCGAAGGGCCAACTTTCAATGTGTCGGTGCTGAGTTTAGACCCCATTCTGTAGTCCTTGGCACAACAGCGTGTCATGAAATCGGTGTGCCACACGAGCGCATCATGACACCCATCATCATGGTGATGCCCCCGCGACGATACACAATTGTATTCATATGCGGAGGACCATCGCTCCATGTGTACCGATCGCTCTGCCACACCAGCATGTCATGACACTCAACATCATGATGATGTCCTTGTTGCGACGACACACGCAGAACATGCAATCGTTTCCTCTGGATCGCCTGAATCTCAAGCGCCAGTTGGTACCATTTAACTGGGGCAGAGGCCAAGCGGGTGGTGCATTTGTGGGGGAAAGCGGTGCTCGTAGCTCAGGCGGAATGCTGTTCGACCCACGAAGCTTACTGTTTTGTCGCTATGGCACCGAATAAGAAATGACCACAAAATCCCTGTGTGAATGGCCTCCCGTCCAGAGGGCTCGTGAAGGGGACGGACGGTCTTGTACAGTCCTTGGCATCGGTGCTGAATGAAGACCCTCTGGTGTAAATTCTTGGCACGCCAGCGCGTCATGGCACTCATTATCATGGTGACGCTCTTGCGAAGATACACCACTGGATGCACATGCGGAGGGCAAGCCTTCAATGGATCGGTACACAAGGCCTCATGGTGTAACTAGATCCTTGGCGCACTAGCATGTCATGATATCGGTGTGCCACACCAACACGTAATGACACCCATCATCATGATGATACTACGTTGACGCACAATAAGATGCACATGCGGAAAGCCGGTGTTCAATGTGTACCGGTCCCTCTGCCACACCAGCGTCATGACACTCATCATCATGACGATATCCCTGCTGCGACCACGCAATCAGAACATGCAATCGTTTCCTCTGGGGTGCACAAGTCGCCAGCGTTCGCTGATACCTTTTGCCTCGGGTAGAAGCCACGCTGGTCGCGCACGCGTGCGCCCGAAATCTCCCTCCTCCTCCTCATCCTCGTCCTCCTCTCCTCCTCCTCCTCCTCCTCTTCTTCCTCCTTTCCCTCCCCCTCCTCCTCCCCCTCCTCCTCCTCCTCCTCCTCCTTCCCCTGACTCTTCCTCCTCCTCCCCCCGACGGCGACGGATGACGCAAGCGTTAACGACGACGACGGCGTCGACTAGAATGACCACGACGATGCCTCGCGCGCGAAGAGCGAGGCGAGAAGCGCCAGCCCTGCCTTGCCGGGCCCGAGGCGCCGCAACATGAAGTCGAGGCGGATGAAAGGCACCGGCTCCGAGCAATTCACCTCAGGACGACAGGACGACACGACGACCACGAAGACCATGACGACGATGACGACCACGACGACGACGAGGACGATCACTGGGGAGCAAGATGACGACGACGACGACGAGGACGAGGACGACGATGCCGGCGATGATGGCGGGCGTCAACCATCCGTCCATCCTCATATCCAGGCGTCGCCCCCTCCTCCAGAAGCGGCGGCACTTGTTCCTGCGCTGCTCGGGGGACGAGCGCCTCCCCCTCCGCCCTCCGCCTCCGCCTCCTCCTGCTCCTCCTCCTCTTCATCCTTGCACGTAGCTCGGACCAGGTTCGTTCGGGATTACGCCTCCTCGAATATAGCTTGCTGTAAGAGCTGGGATCGGGCTGCTCGGGCAAACATTGGCATATCATTGAGCGCGATCCTGGGGGACTCTCGGGCCGCGCCAGGAGCCTCTCCTCCTCCTCCTCCTCCTCCTCCTCCTCCTCCACCTTCTCCTGAGCTTCCCATTTCTCTCGGCGATGGCGGCGGCGACGTCGATAATTGGAAGATGAAGAGAGCAATCGCAACTTCCGTTCCCTCTCCCTGGGATTCGTTCTGCGGTCGCTTTCCGTGCTCCCCTGCCCGTTGCACCGGTGAGGGGCTCGCTCCCCGAACAGCCCTTGCTCCTCCACCTGCCCTTGCCGTGAGAACGTCCAGAAGCCTTTCCAAACCGTCAGAGACCTCCAGAGAGTTGGGACAACTCCCTGCAGACTGTTGAACGCCTCCCCGAGGCACGAGGGACGACGCCCGAAAGAATGCAAACAGACCTCTGATCCCCCTTGTCCCCCTCCCCTCCCTCCTTTTCCTCCTTTTCCTCATCCTTCTCCTCCTCCTTTTCCTCCTTTTCCTCATCCCTCCTTTTCCTCCTTATCCCCCTTGTTCCCCTCCTCTCCCTCCCCCTCCCCTCCCTCCTTTTCCTCATCCTTCTCCTGGGGAGCGCACTCCGGGGAGAAGGTCGGGGCGGATGGAGCCGCCGCGAAGGGAACGCCCCTGGAGGCACAGAGCGAAAAGAATATGTCCCAAACCGTCATCCTCTATCCCGCTCCCCCGCCTTCCCCCTCCTCCTCCTCCTCCTCCTCCTCCTCCTCCTCCTCCTCCTCCTGCTCTTCCTTTCCCTCCCGCTCCTCCTCCGTCCGACTCCCCCCCCCCTCTCAGCGCGCCCCCGCGCCTGACTCGACCGCCAGAAGGGCGCTGGAGGAGGAGGAGGAGGAGGAGGAGGAGGAGGAGGAGGAGGAGGAGGAGGAGGAGGAGGAGGAGGAGGAAGAGGAAGAAGGGGAGGAGGATGAGGAGGACAAGGAGGAGGAGGAGGAGGAGGAGGAGGAGGAGGAGGAGGAGGAGGAGGAGGAGGAGGAGGAGGAGGAGGAGGAGAACGAACGAACGAACGAGCTCTGGGGGGCCGATCCGTGAGTCAACACCTCACAAACACAAAGTTGGCCCCTGAGTGGCCCTTGCAGGCAACTTCACTCGGCATCCAACCTCTTCGGGCACGGCCGAGTGCTCTGGCCCCATACCCGCCCTTAGGCGCGGGCGTGCGCGCTCGAGGGGGGTGGCGGCACGGCTAACACGCACAGACTAATGGCCAACTTCGGGCCCAATCACAACTGCAAAAAAATACCTGGATTCGGACTTGGCTTTCGCCCGAGGTTTGGGTCTTGAAACCTGCCGTCCCTGCGCAATAAATCTGCGGGAATCCCCAGGGACTCCTTCCAGGGCCTGATCTTCTGAAAAACGGAACGGCTGGGGGGCCCCCGAAGAAGTGGAGACAGCAGCAGCAGCAGCACTCGGAGGAGGACGAGAAGGAGAAATGAGGGCCCCCCCGAGCCGCAAGCTCGCGCAAGCGAGCGGACTGAGCCAGCATCGGCCTCCTCGCCAGTTCGCGGGCGATCGTGGCCACGACCCGAGCGCGTGCGGCCGTAGCCGCACGCCTCTCGGCTGCGTCCCCTCCCTCCCCGCCCCGGGCTCCGCCCGCCTCCCCCATCCCACGCTGCTGCACTATACTGCTGCCGCTTGCAATCATTCCAGACTCATGGGACGCTCGGCCTACTTCGTGATACGATCGAGCAACTTGGCCGCGTCCCTCTCGAAGCCCCCTCGCGGGGCTGCACCCACCTTCCGCTCTCCTCCACCACCTTCAAGTACTGCACGAGATGATCCTCGAGCTGCTGAAACTTGTGGCCCGCCGCAAACGTGAGCCGATGCCGATCCGCCTTGGGCTCCTGCTTTCTGGTAACTCTGATCCTGCGCGCGCGGACTTGATCGGCCAGGTCGTGGAGAGGCTTCTCCAGCACCACTTCGTTCCAGTACTCCTCGAAGCACTTCTTGCAGTCCGCGGGGCATTTGCTGTCTTGACCTGCTGCCGAGACCAGAGCCACCCCTACTTGAAGAAACGGTGGGCCCATCGACGACGCGTCGCCGTCCTCTTTGAGCTTCTGCACTTTGTTGTGATACTGGACGCCTGCGGCCTTGGCGGCCACTGCCGCGGCCGCATCCACTGGCATCAGAAACGTGTAACAACCACCCCGCATATGTCCCTCAACTCGGCGGCGTTCGTGAGCGATAACTTCGTCAGAATGACGACGAGCTGCTTCAGCGCGTCGCCGCCCTTGGCCCTCGCCGCGTCCACATGCCTGGCCTGCTTCGCCAGACGAACGGCCTCTTCGCCTCCCTCCGCTTCCGTAGGTGGCGCCAGCGTCCACGCAGGACGCTTGTCCATGGGAAAGCCCCCCCCCGATGTAGAAGCCAGGGTGGGCGCGGCTCTGGCAGAGGATCAAGGTGCGATCGTATATGAGACTGCAGAGCCTCGAAGCTGCGGCCTTAATACGCGCGCAGCGGGCATTGATGCGACGAGGGCAACCAAACTGGCTGAATATTACGAGCGGTCATATCGCTACAATATCCACGTGCGAGCGAGTCTCGAAGGTGTCGACGACATATGACCCTGGAAGCGAACGTAGCCAAGCAAACACAGCATTGATTAGAGACGCTCAATACACTCGATAAAGACTGATATGCATGCCGATCGATGATATGTGTATGTACAGCACGCCTACCAGGTAGGATAGCACCACAGACAACGCCACCACTAGCACACATCCTACATTGAAGCTGTTGCCCGATCCCAATCACACTCGAAGCTAACATTGGTTCAGGTCCAGGGATATGTCCAGGAGGGGGTACACATACTGCTAGAGATTTACTCCGAAGCTCGCGCACGCCAATACGTAGGAACCTTTCCCCCACCTCCCCGTCCCTAAACAACTCCACGCACCGCCCCCCAAGTGTAGCTAGTAGATCAGGGCCCTCACCGAGAACTCCCAAGGCATCCACAGTTTCCCAGTGCATACGCACCCAGGGGTGGGCCTCATAACTCAGGAGCCCACTGGGATTGATCAAGGATTTACATTCTACTGCAGCAACTAGCGCAGCGATAACTTGTCTGTGAGACTGCGGGCGCCGCACAAGCTCATGAAGGAAACGTAGGCGCCTGATCCGAGCTTCTAGCCCGGGGGGGACAAGCCTCAAGTAGGCCAGCACTTCAGCATTCGAAAGAGAACGTGGATGTCGGTCAGCATGCGGATCAAAGGCTTCACCCCGCATAGCTCGCCGAGCAAAAAAAGCAACCTGATTCGTCAGCCGTCGATGCTCTGCACTCGTCGGAACATATGCCTCAATGCCAGAAAGCCCAGCATTGTAAACTTTACCCAAGAAAAAAAAGCGTCGTAGTCGATGCGGAATCCCAGGGAGATGCCAAAACAACGCCCCAATGCATAAAACCCAGACTGCATTGCTTTACATCTCGCTTTTTAATCGACAGCATACCTATGAGGCTGAGCATTAACGTGAAAACCCAGAGACTTGATCACCTGAGCAACACGACCAGGGAAAGCAAGGGCACCTTCTCGCAGAAGCCGGAGTGCCTCCGAAGATCCCCGCCCGACCATACATACCAGGGTGTCCTGCTTGCTAAGGTTCTGCTTATACCCATTCAGAGAGAGAGAGAGAGAGAGAGAGAGAGAAAGACTTACCTAGATCTGCATTACTACGACGACTGAGCTCGATAAGTTCTCGTAGAGTAGTAAACCTCCCTCCCGCCAGCTTCTTAGTAAGGTCATCAACATACTTAGTCAAAGACAAATCCTGGATCGTACCGTACCAGACACGGGGCAACAGACGTGCAGGAAACGGGAATTGCCTTCCCATTCATGCTGAGCAGCACGCCAGCGCTCCACCGCTGGGTCGAAAGTGTGGGCAAGGGAACGAATGGCGAACCCGTCTCCCATGAGCCCCCCGCTGCTTGGTCGAAGAACCACCTGCTCATCGTGTCCCCGCAGTTGCGCAGCAGCCCAACGATATCGTTGCTCCCCGAAGCCCAAGGACCCTGGCCAGAACATGCACGGGATTGCCGCTCGCATACGGTCCCAACTGCTAGAGCTGAACGCGTTCGCTAAGTCGTGCGCGTTGGCCACGTGCGAGACTCCGCCGCGCCAGGTGATGCCCGCTAATATTCTGCACAAGCTGAACCTCCCCCCTCCTCTGGTGGGGGGCGAAACCATGGTCGCAATCTCCAAATTGGCCCGCCCCCCGTTGATGCATCAAACTGGTCATAAACAGCTTCCCCATCGGATCCAGGAGGTGAATCCATATCGTTTTCCCGTCAGGACGTGGTAAAGGGGCCCCTTCACTACAATGCCAACGAATAGGGGCCCATCCACAACTTCGGATGCGCGCGAGACTCCCAAAGAAGAACTTCTGAAACTCAGGAAGCCGTAACCCCTCAGGTTCAGCACCGAGACCCATAGTCTTAGTCTTGGCACGCTTGAGGGGGTGTAAGACCAGCCGCCACAATTCAAGAGGCGGGGCCCACGAAGGCCCAGCTCGCCGTGTGCCAGCCTTAAGCACAGCACGCCTGATACCGTGAAAGTCACGACTAGCTGCCTTGCGCTCTTCATACGTAGGACTGGCATGCGGCAAGGCACGCGACA